ATGGGTGCAGACGGGTGCAGACGGGTGCAGATGGGTGCAGACGGGTGCAGACGGGTGCAGACGGGTGCAGACAGGTGCAGCCAGTTGGGGCTTTTCACTGAAGTCACTTATTTTCTGTTTATTTGAACAGTTTTTTGTACTTTATACTTTTACGTTACACCTGACGTCTCTTTTAAATACATTTCTGTCTGGTCAAAGACACTTTTTTTTGTTCGAAGTTTGCCTCCTGCTCTGACCACATTGGTCAGCTTCCCCACACTATGTTCCACCTTGTGATGTCATGTGATACAACAACAAATGCTCCACTGTGTTTTTAAACTCCATACACCTTCACTAGAATCATCTAGATCATTTCAGCACTGGAATATCTGATTTCTACTCAACTTAAGATAAAAGGCACTCTTAACTTGAAAACTACTACTTCATGACATCACAAGGTGTAAGAGTTTTAAGTTTTGACATTGGAGATGTAGACAGACTCATAATAAAGAGTTCTTCAAACATTTGTGAATCAAACAGAACACAAGGTGTGTTTTTGAGGAGGATTCTAACAGGCTTCAAGCTCACAAAAGTCCATTTTGCATTATATAAGACAAAATCTTCATGAACTGAACTAAAGGAAAACAAAACTAGGAAAACGTAGAAGCATTACACAAGTCCATGTTACTTCAAACTGACATTTTACTTCTAAAACTGTCACTGGTGTCACTGTTCAGTCAGTGACTCAACAGAGACTGATGTTTGACTGACGGGCTCTACTGCAAACACTAATCACAGAATCTATAAAATTGATTTAAAGTTTCTGCACCTGATTATTACAGTTTTAAAACAGGAATAATAGAATTAGTTCATCTGAAACAGGTTGCAGTGCCCCAAACTTACTCCTCACTCCTTATACATTCAGAGATGAGTTTATTTAAGCACTTTTCACAACTTTCAGAGACCAGAGCAGAGTAATGCTAACCACAACTAGCATGCTAATGTGCACTTCCTGATTCCTGGACAATAACATTTGTTGTAATTAGACACAGTCAGTACACAGCAGATTTACTTTGACCTCCAGAGCTGCTTATATACAACACGTCTGTGCTGGGACCAGACACATTTGGTCAAATCCATGGGAAAAAAAAGAGTTCATTTTAGTATTTCAAGTTTAATTTAAAAAGTCACTAAAATCTGTTATAGATTTTTTCTTTTTTTTTTTTTTATGGCAGTTGCAGAAATCATGGTCAGTCCGAGCCCTGCAGAAGACCTCCCCTCCTCTGCCCACACTGGCCCCAGCAGCGAGTGCCCAAAATCAGCCGACTCTGTGCCTCCCTCCCCTGGATCTCCATCAACCAGGGAATCTAACCCCCAACCCGACCCTCCACCGCCGGAGCAGGGGGGCAGAGGCGGCGGGGCGGCCCAGGCGGAGCAGCTCTCGTGTGGGGTGAAGGAGTGGCGCTGTGGGGTCTGTACACACCTGGTCCTGGCCCTGGTCCTGGTGCTGCTGTCCCCGGTGATCGCAGTGGGAGTGTGTGTGGCCGACGTGGTGACGGGAGAATGCTGCAAAAGCTACGACAATGACGAGGATTCAGAAGAACAATAATGAAATTTGATCAGTATTTTTTTTGCGCTTGTGTTTGTACAGTTATAAATTATCACCTGTGGATCTTTATGTTATAATTTATACATTTTAAATCACAATATTCATGTAAAAGGATGTAAAAAAAAAAAAGACTGACTTCTGGGTTGGAAAATTGCAGTGCCCAGTGAGAGCGGACGTCACCGTAAATGTCATGACAACAAAGCGCCGCATGTTGTGGGCTCCTTCTGTGAACAGCTGCACGTCACACTTTTTTTTTTTTTTTTCATTTGTACAAAAGTGAGTACACGACGCTGCTGAATTCTCTGTGTATCACCCACTCTGCACATCTGGAGAAACAATGTGATGGTCCAAAAGTAGACGTGGGATGAGACGAGATTGGGTCCACGAGAACGAGACAAGACGAGATTTTGACATCATTTGTAATAATAAATAAGTAGCGAAGTTCTGGCTTCACTATTTTTATTTACTTTATGTAATTCTTTATTGTACTACAGCTTTTTGGTACTACAGCTTCTCAAACTGTGTCAGTCACCAGCTCTTAACTCTCTTTTTGTTTTGTCCAAGCCAAAGGTAAATTCATGGGGAAAAATCTCCCGAGATCATTTTTTTCACATGTGCACGATGTTGTGGTAATTTTGTCTCGTGAGATCTTGTGGTATGAGATCTTTTTGAATGATGATAAGTTTATTTGGATGTTTCCATAAATAATAAATTGCATTATCATACAGTAAATGATAAAGTGCATATGCAATAATCAACTATCTTTTTACACTGCTCATCACAACTATAATATCCACAAAGAGAAATAAAATAAAAGAGAAAAAATAAATAAAAAATCATTTGCTCCAAAAAGGAGTGGGGAGAAGCAACGCTTATCTGCCCCCACCCCCTTTTACAATCCCACTAAAGCAATAATGTGCTTCTGCCAGACTCATATAGTGCGTCACATGACTCCCAATACAAGAAGAAATATAGCATTTGCATTCAGATAATAATAAAATTTAATTCTATCTTCTATTCTATAGATCTTGTCCCATCCCTTCAAACCCCGCCCCTGCAGCCATGTCATCAGAAACACCTGACCGTGATCAGGACAGTCCTGAGTGATGTCATGTAGTACTTGAAATATCTTTTTTTTATTTTTTTTATTGCTTTTGCATGTTGACCTACTTTTTACTAAAATAAAAATGTAATAGTGTTATCTTACAGTAGATAAAGTTATTCAAAGATCATATACACAGAGGAGCAGCCAAAACATGGACTAAAAAGTGTTTGGATTTAGGAACTTTTTTGTATTTTAATGTCACATATGTTGAGAGATTTTTACATCAGATGCCCTTCCCTTCCTTAAATGAAGAAAAAATGTTGCCCAAAAAGTGTCCTGCTCAAGGATTCAACAGCAGTGTTTGGTGTCTGTTTTGGTAAAAAAAAAAAAAAAAGCAAGCTTCTTCCACATTTCAACATGTGTCTTTGAATAAACATGTGAAGTCACCTGTGCACTTGTATCTATTTAAATCTGACATATTCTAATAGTGAGAATATGAATTCTTTATAATGCACTTGAAACTCAAAAGAAAGACTGTTCTTCATGTTTTCTCATTGAACGGACTGATTTTGTAGCAGGAATATTAAAGCTTTACCTGATTTTTCTGAGTCTTAAAAACATAAAAAACAAAACAGAAGTCGTTCACCATAAACAGTTTGCAGTGGTCCAGAGTTCTTGATCACTTATCTTATGATCATCTCATTACTCACCATGATGAGTTTAGAAGCACTCAGAGATCTGTGCAGAGTCTAAGAACAATCAGCATGCTAAGAAACACCTCCTGATATCAAACAAGAAAGAGCTTTATGCAGACATGCAGACAGCAGACTTATTTTAAGAGCTGCTTATACAAAATATGTGTAAACACGACTGGGGCAGGACACATTTGCTCAGATATTTGGGAAATATTATGTACTGAGCCTTTAATATATGTAGTTAATATGATGAAGTGAGGTTCAGGAGCAGGACCACGCCTCAGCCGCCCTCTCCTCTCACCAGCCACAAAACTTTGATTTGTGACTGCTGTGTTATGACTGTATTTGATTTGCGCCAGAGGTGATTCATAAAAATAAATAAAAACATTTAAAAATGTTGATATGTTTTTGCTCTGACAGTTCTTGTACTGGTCCAAGAGTTCTCATGACAGCAGACTGACAGTGTCCTCTAGTGGCAGAAATACTATTACTACAATCAGAAGCAGGAACGATTTTATCATCATGTTGATTTTCTAACGAGGATCAAACTGTGGGTTCTGAAATGTTGCCTGAGTTTCCAGACTGGAGAGGTGACGAGATGAGGGGTGTTCTACTTTGAATTTACAAGACAGAACTTGGAAGATCTGAGCTCTGAGGACAACTGGAACTCAGGAATAACAGCACAATCGGTGAAAGTCTTTATAAAAAATACACAGACAGAGACCTCTAACTGATTTTTAAGAAAAGGTTCTACAATCACAACTGAACCTTCACCTGCAGCTAGAGATGCATAAATGTGTCTCATTGTCAGTTTTTGGACAGACCAGGCCTCATGTGAAGCTCAGAGCCTCCAGAAGTCCCTCCCTGAGCTGCACATATGAGGTACACAAGTTCAAATCAAATATCACTTTTACTCACTTTGGACAATTATTTTTTCCCAAGGGGCCACATGAGAAACAGAAAATAATATGGAGACCAAAATTCAGCATTGTTTTGACGAGCTGCTCAGACTGGGAAGTTTATATGTTATGACTCAGCAATGAAAAATTGATTCTGCCGAACAAAAGAAGTCATTAAAAAAAAATAAAAAAAATAAAACACACTTCTAAAATAAAAGCAATGTAGCTTTAGTCCATAGTCTCATAGAATTATAAAATATGTTTATTTTATAATTCCAAATGATCTTAAAGGGGCTGGTCAGAGTCCACTAAAGGGCCGTTTGTGGCCCCGGAGCCGCACACTGATAATTCTAACACTGATTTATTCTTAATCACAAAATCACTGGACACAATAATCAAGATGTTTATAATTTGATGTTTTGGTTCAAGACAATTCTCCAATCAAAAATAAAAGAGAGCCTCACAGGAGTCTCACATTTGGGTTGTTGCTGGTTCAAAGATGAAATCCAGTGTGTTTAAACCTAAAATGTTTCTCTGATCTGAATGATCACTCCCTAAACCCCAGCACCAGTCATGAGTCAGTGCTAGTGCAGCCTCTGCAGCTGTGGAGGTTCTGAGCGAAACATGAGGCCTGAACATAAACTGAGAATGAGACCCACTTGGATGTGTCTGTCTGCAGGTGAAGACTCTGGGGACACAGGTTGAGTTGTGATTACACACACAGCTCCTTTGACTTTTGCAGTGTTCAGTGGGAAACATGAACTTGTATAGACTTTGTTGTACTAATAATATCATTTATTTTTACTCCAAATGGACTCAAAGCCTGTTATTCATTGCAAACATTTATTACATTTGTTTGATTCAAAAAACAGCATCGTCCCGTAGTCTTTCTGTTGGTCTAATTGGACATAATGGGAATGGACTGTGTATTAGACAATATAGGGACAGAAATCCATTAAAAAAACACTTTACATTTCAGCGTTCCTGGTTCGTTTTGGCATGTTCTCCTCCCTCCTTTTCACTGGAATATTGTAAAAATAAGAAGGCATGCATAAAGTTTGTGTTGTAATGCACAGTCTAAAGGACACCATCTTGGAAATACAAAAATCCATGTACGTTATTGGGTACACTTCATAAATGTATGGTCCCTTTAAGGTTAGAATCAAGATTTAGGCCCTGTTTTTACTATAGGGCCAACAAAATATGTCCAGAAAGCAGTATTCATGACATCTCATACTGAAGAAGTGCACTATACATTTTTGTAATATTGATTAAAAATAGTTGATTCATCATTTCTTTTTGTTACAATCCTGCGTTTGAAATGTGCGGTTTACTATAAATATTATCAGATCCTTTTTCTGGTGGAGGGTCCGCTACCTGCTTGTCTCCACCATGTTCCACAATAGGGCATTCATTATCAATCTAGGCCAGTAATTATAGATGCACACTAGTTTAATGCCATACTCTGGAACTTTTGAGGCAAAGCAAGACGGAGACAAGTGTGTGGTCGACTCTCCACCGGAAAAGTTACATAGAGCGTGTGTTATATTTTTTTATTCTCTTCAATAAAAATATCACTTTTTGGACACATTTTGTAATTCATTTCTTCTTGGTCGCTAAAACTCCACCCTGTTAAATAATATGGGCTTTTAAACTACGACTGCTCCCTCCTTCAAAGTACTGCATCGAGCCGTTTGAGTTCATCCACTACAGACAAACGGGGCCCAACAGTGTCCACACACAGCCTGCTTCCCCGAGCAAAACTCCCATTCAGTTTTCCCATCAACATTCCAAAAAAATAATATTGAAGTTTGTCTTTAATCTGACCCGAAAGAACGGACTGACAGGTGAGCCGATTTGTGCCGATTTCTCACACGTAAAATGACTCATCACAGGACAGGTAGCAGTTTTTCAGTTAGTCCCACTCACCTTTTTGCTGAAAATCAAACACTTAAACATGATCAAAGTGCACAGTTTAAATCCTTTTCGTGTTTTTTTGTGAGTTTTCAGACTATCTTATGACATTTCTGGCAGTTTTTGCTAATGTGTGCATTGTGTCGCCGTGGTAACTGTTGAACATGTCACCACAGAGATACAGATAGAACACCCCCAGAATGATGTCAGAGCAAAATATCAATAAACCATCAAGTTAAGAGCTTTAAACATGCTTAAAACTACAGCGTTAAGGACTTCAGTCAGCCTTTGCCGGGTCTTTAAACTCTCAATATTAGAATTTTTTTGGAAAGTCGACGGGAAAAATGAATCGAAATTTTGTTCCGGAATTAGAGTGGACTTGGAAGTGGGCGGGACTGTTGAGCTCCATTATTTCTATTAAAACCCCCACTCAATTGGTCATCCATCCACCTAAACTGTCTCAAAAATGCGTTCTATCTGCTTATTCGGACGCTACAACATAGAAAAACCACCTCGAGAAAGACTTTTAAAGCTCCACTGCGCAACTTTTCTGCGAGTTATTGCTGTTTCTTGCGATGTTCTGCAGCATGGTATTAGTCGAGCGGGGAAGAATGCGCGTTTTTCAAGGTATATCTGAGCAATAGAAACACTTTAAATAAAAGCTAGATAGAGAAGTTTAACGCCATACTGTGGAACAACCCAGGCGAGGCAATAACATCTCCGTGGAGACGAGCAAAGAGGCGCAAGTGACGCAGTGAGGCTTTAAATTTGATAATGTTTCAACACTACATATGAGTGCTGTTTACGTGGCCATATTTTGTATTTTATTGAAAAAAAATGAATGACTAGATTACAATGTGAATGAAAATGAGGACTGTTAAAAAACGGCAAATGGTTTCTATTTGAGGAGACACAGAAGATTGCTGTGACCTAAATCAATGAGCTTATAGGAATGTACAGTGATATTTATAGAGAGAGTCATCTACACTGAACGAAGAGAAGAGAAGAGGTGAAGAGACAGACACTAAAAAGATTACAAAAGTTGGACTTCTTGGATTTGCGGCTCTTGGAAAAAAGAAAAAAAAAAAGAAAAATGATTTTCTGAAGTGCAAAATGTCCAACCGTATCGAGTCTATGGGGGAGTCTGCGGGGGTTATGGCTGTTGTGGTGAGAGTGGCTGGGTATAGCGCCCCCGGTGGTCACATGGAGGAGGTGGTGGATCTGGTTGGTGATTTTAGATGTTGGTTTGTTTGTTTGTTTGTTTGTTGGTAGTTGGTGGTGGTGGTTGTTGTTTAGTCGATGTATTGGGAGAGCCAGCGGAAGCCCTCTCCGTAGCCCTGTCGCTTCAGCACGCTGCACATGAACACCTCTAGGGGGCGTGTGTTCAGGTCTTTCAGAGGGATGGTCCCCTGCAGACACAAGGCACAAGATACAAGTGAGTTAAAACGTCCTGAATCTGATTTTATTCAGTCTTGTCAAGAAAAATGAGCTTTATACATAGAATGTATAAAGAAGCATGACGTCACCCGTAGTGTTCAACTCGTGAGGCCAGCAGTTAGAGGTAAATTTAGAGTTCCATATTAGGATAGGAATTGATTTACAGACAAAATAATGAAATGAAAATCCCAGGATCATGTAGAATATAATATTATATTATTATTATTATTATTATTATTATATGTAAATATAGATATTTTAAGACCAATCTTGTATTTATCAAAATTTAAATGAATGAAATTTCATTGTTTTAAATGTTTAATGATGAATTGGATTGTGCTTATTTTAAGGAGACCCTGTTACTGAAGAAATGTTGTTGTTAGAGTTGGTCTAATGTAACTAATTTCCTGCCCGAGGACTGCAGATGGAATGGAGCTTGTAGTTAAATCTGGCACAGAGCATCTTTTCTGTTTGAGATGAATGTTTTCTGTGCACTGTCCTTGTTTTAAATCAATAAAATAAAATAAATAATAAAAAACAAAGCTTATGCTCACTTCCTCCTAAGAATGTGTCAGCTAACAGGTTAGTTATGTTTCTATATGGCTTTACATCAGCAGCATTTTCTCAGATAGACACAAATACAGAAGCTTCTGACACGGGCTCCTTCTCTTCACCAATCAGGCCTGTTGTGTCCCATAAAAGAATCCTGGAAACTTACTGCTTGACATAATCCCGGACATGGTGCCGTATCACAGCGGCAGAAAGGACTAAGGGGGCGGGGCTAAATGTAGACTAGCTCTGGTCCTTGTTTACAGTTTGGTTGCTAGGTTAAAGTTATAGAATTACCTGTAAGTATGCCAAAAGACAATTGAGAAAAGACAATTTTAGCTAATATTACTTACAACATGTGCAGTTCTATGGCAGTGGTTCATGGACTAAACCAGGACTAAACCAGGACTAAAAACAAGACTAAAATAAGGACTAAAACCAGGGACATAACCAGGGCTTGGAGGTACCTTTCCTGTGGTCTGTCCATAGAGTCCGAAGCACTCCCTCAGTTTCTCTTCACTGATGGCGTCCGCCCGGTCAATTTTATTCCCCAGGATCAGGATAGGCACGTTTCCAATCGTCTCATCTGTCATCAACGCCTGCGACAACAGAAGGGACAACATTAGACATTTCTCGGACAAATACTGGGATTTTATTTGGCTTGATGATGCATGCACAGAACAAGAGCCCAGGGCGACACAGGAACATTTAGTTCTCTGCATAATCTAAAGTGGAAGCTTTCTGCCAATTTTGACCCTTCAAATTATTATTATTTTTAAAGAATTTCTTTCTTTAGCATTTAAAGGAACTGTATGTAAAATGCCATTGTGTTCTCAGAAGATAAACATGTTCAAATCAAATCTAGCTTTTATTGACATTAATGATTATCCAATCAGAAAGAACAATGAGCCTCACATGAGTCCCTCATTGGGGTTCCCAGTTCCAACACTGAAATCAAGAGTGTTTAAACCTAAAATGTCTCTCTCTGATTTGAATGTTCACTAAACCCCAGCACCTGCACCAGTCCTGAGTCAGTGCTAGTGCGGCCTCTGCAGCTCAGGGACGGAATTCTGAAAGTTCTGAGCTTCACATGAGGCCTGAACATAAACTGAGACTGAGACAAATGCAGGATGTGTCTATCTGCAGGTCAAAGCTCTGACAACACAGGGTCAGTTGTGATTGTAGGAACTTTTTTTAAAAAACAGTAAGATCCAGTTTCTTGAAATGAAATATAAACTCCTGTATATTCAATTATATTGTGCTGGTGTCTCTTACATCGAGTTCTGCTTTGGACTCTGCCAGTCGCCCGTGGTCCGCACAGTCCACCAGGAACACGATGCCGTTGATGGCGGGGAGGTAGTTTTTCCACACTCTGCGTGCTGCACACATACAATACACTTAACAAAACTATATTCTACACAAAAATAGAATCACGTCATTATCATGACTGTCCTATTGCCCAGACAAAACATATGTAGTAATGAAAAATACTACTACTACTACTACTACATTTTACAATTCAATTCAGCAAACAAATTATGTCTTTATTATGTGTACCCGGCTTTTCCCATGTATTTGAGCAAAATGTGTCTTGCCCCAGTATAGATATATTGTATAAGTAGCTCTAGAGGTAAGTCAGTAATAGTCGGAGATTGGCCTGTGTCTGACCTTGTGCGTGTCCTCCAAGGTCAAATGTGGTGAAGGTCATCCCTGCGATCGTCAGCTCCTCAGACGCTGCAACACAATCACAGGCTTAACAGTTTACAAGAATATTCAGTATAAAGGAGGAAGAGTGAGGATTAGATTAGGATTGTGTTTATGGATGATAAATGTTATGGAGGGACAATTTTATTCAAGAGTGAGGCTCTGTCAT